ACCCAACTAACCAACTACCATGGTCCCCTGGTCTACCCCCAACTTTTTTACGGAGTATGATGTTCTGTGGAATGAAATACCCCTTTGGTCAGTTCGGATTAGCTGTCTGGGCTGTGTCCCCTCCCCACTGCTTGTAGTAAGAAAGTTGGGAACACGGGTGCAGTATCAGAAGCTGAAAAAGTCCTTGAATTGGTGCAAACATTCCTTAGCCAAACTAAAGCCACCAGTGTTAGCAGCACTCAGCGCAAATCTAAAACAGCCTTATACCAGCTACTGTGAAGAAATTAGTTCTGTCCTGACTAAAAAACAGCACAATGTGTTATACCTGTGATGCATGGGAGTCCTTGTAAGCACAGGAGAGAGTGGATTACTTGAGACAGCACGGCAGTATTCCTAAATGGCACAGTTCTAGGGACCCAACCCATCATTATTTTGCCTCATCTGTGTCCCTTCTGTGTTTCTTATCTCAAGATGTTCTTGAGATTTGGAGAAAGGAAAGCTCTGGCTAGTCATTATTCTGGTGGATGGATTCTGATCCCTTCCTGGATGACATAGTGATTACAGGAGGAAAGAAGTATCCAAATTTAGATTTGCAGTGAGAATCACCACACTTCTAGATGTTTGCATAAGACTTTGTTGGTATACGGTGGCTTCCTTGAAACCAGTCAAGCACTACTGTAACTTCGACGGTGTTTGCCAGTGGGAAAATCTGAATTGTCAAAGAATCTGGGAGACTTTCTGCTGTGCTGAGCAATATCTCTGAACCCTCTTTCAGGAAGCTGACAGAATGTGAAGGTCTGTGAGTTATTGGCAGTCCTTAACTTCCCTTATTTTTGTTCTTTCAACTTGCATTAAAGTGAAGCTGAACACATTTGGGTTTATGATGTTAAACCAGTTACCTACAGCTGATGAGCTCCAGGAAGAGCGAAACCAGTTCTGTTCTGTTTCAGCAGTTATGAAAAGTAAGGACTGGTCCTGTAGTACTGTCCAGCATCAAAACAATCACTCCTAATTTAAATGCCTCTTTGAAAGAGTTTATCTTCTGGGGAGTTCAGACCTGTGTGTTGTGTGGCATTTGCTGCTAGCATCTCAGGAGTGTGGGATTTTGGATGAAACAAAGGTGCTGGTTAACGAGGCTAAAAACTGAAGCGTGATCTAGCTGTAGAGGAAAGGTAATTTAGCAGTACCACAGGCTCCTCCCCTGCCCCAAATATGACAGACTCAACTTTAAAATTCTATTTCAGGCAGTTGTTCCCCTTTAAGTGGGGGAGAATAATAGTTTGCTAATAGTTTGCTCAGCTACTAACTCCAGTATTACTAACTTTAGCTATTTATTGTAGTAGATATGAATGTACCTTCTTGGGCACAACGTGTATTTGGCAGTAAGAGACACTGAGGGTAACTGACTGAAGAAGCCCAGTTCTTATATTTGATTTCTAGTGAAATAAACTATTCAGTGTATGGTCACAGGGCTATCTATTCAAGTCTGTATCAGCGTTGATCTGTGAGAGAAGGAAATAGAAATAGGCAAGCAGCATTCATGAATAAGAAATAGTAAAACAGCTTTCATCAATAATAGGATTCCCTGAACTGGTGTAGCAGCATCTGGGAAATTGAATGAATTACAGGTTCCTTTGTGCAATCTGGGTAAAAGGTCTCCAAAGGAAGTCTGGGGGTGTGGGCAGAGCAAGTAAAAAAACTTTGCCATCAGCGGTGTCTTTAAAAACACCTTCCTCCCTGAATCAGTCTACTTTTTACTCAGGACCCCATTCAGGATGCTTAAAGGTTCAATGCTGGCTTTGCAGTTTGGGTGGTGATCTCTGCAATTTTTATTGATATCTTTACAGATAAGCATTTCACCTGAAAGATGTAACTGAGTATAAAATTGTGACTCCAACTAAAATAGGAGAGCTTGTGCCTTCTGGTTTAAGGTGGAAGTTCATAAATCATCTTGTGACTGAAAATCCTTTTGCAGGCTGCAGTTATCTTGAAAACACTTCAAACAAAATTTGAGCATTTTGTGTTGATGTATGAGAACCCTTCTCTTCAGCAGAAAGCACTAGCTTTGATTCCCCTCCAGCAGTTGAAAGGAAAGGCTCAGAAAAAGCTAGCGCAAGCTACAAGACTGGACAAAGGTAATGCCACCGAGTTATAATGTATATGAAACTAGAAATACTCTTTCAAACATCTGCATGATGCATTTATCTACTGTGCTTTAGGTGTGTGGATTTGGTCATATGTCAGCAGGTTGCAAAGGCTGTTTCTAAATTAGAATTACTTTCTGCCTAATTTTCAAATTTTCTACTTTCCTCACTTCTCTGTTTTAGTGTTGGGGTTTTTTATTTCATTTTTGTCATCCATCCTTTACTGCTTTCACATAGAAATTTTGAGTTCTCAGTTTTTGACTTAGTAGTAGACAATGCTAGGGAAACAAATAAGGTGAGCATCTCATGTTGTATTCCTTGTATCTAGAGTGAAATGTCTATTAAAAATGACCTATTTCTATTTTCAAGTGACAGTTTTAGATTTGTTTCAGCAATATAGTGAAATTTTACTTTCAGGAGATAAATATTAAAAAACGCCACTCTTCCAAGACCGTATTTAAACAAAAAAAATCCTCTTCACTGTCAGTCTGTGACAGAAGACTCTTTAAAGCAATTTTGGTAACTTGATGGGAGTGCTGTTGATTTGCAAATCAAAACTGAGCTCTTCTCGTTTTTTGAATGACTTTGTGATGTCTCATACAGCCACACTAATACGTATTTGTGCCTCTGGCATTAGCTGCTCTAGTTCAGCTGTGCACCTTATTTAAAAAGGGGAAGGTAGGAGGAGGGTGGTGTTTCCAGGTGCTTCTTCCCAAGCCATCTATTCAAAATGGTTTCCAGACCTTAATCTAGATGCATGTAAAAGGGAAGTGGTGGAACTCCACTGCTCTGAATTATGGCAGTTGGAAAGCGTTTTTAGGGAGCTTTATAGAAACATTCCTTTGGGAATGGACTGTGTATGAGATGTATGGGTAATTGGCCCTTTCAGTTTCTTTGGTTTGACTGTACTGCTGTGTTAATACTGTTACCTGTGGGAATAACTGCTTAGCGCTAGGGCACCCTCGATTTTAGGACTTCCCTTACAATGCAAAATAGGCAATATTTGCTCACAAATGGGTCATAAATTCCTGGGATAGGAAGATTATGGTCATTTGATCAGAAGTACAGATTTTTTTTTTTTTTACTGTTTCCCGTTAACACTTTCCATTAGAAAGATGAATTGTACAGTCAAAGATAGCTGCACGGCACAGCCAACTGTTCAAATAAATCACATTTGTCATTCTTTCCATGCAATGTTTTCATGAAGGGTTTATTTTACAAACCAAGAGAAGAGTATTCATATGGTAGCTGTCATTTTCATAGCTGGGTTCTGGTTTGTGTGTTGTTATCCAGGAAAAGAGAATATGCCCTGTGCTTGAAATCTTCTCATTTGGTTTTTAGCAGAAAGTTTGAATATACAGGCATATCCATATTGTAAGTGATAACACCTTGTCTGAATGTTTCAATACAAATGTTTTTCACTCATAATAAGTAAAAATGGAAATTTTACTGCAATTAAAATCAAGTTTTCTTGCTTTGATTAAAAGATTATCTCTTCTCATGTGCTTCATGGTCGTGTCAACGTATGTTCAATAGCGTTAGGGCCCCCACAGTGTCTTTTGTACTACTTCAGCTTCAGAGGAGGATGTGAATTGAACCTGTTTAAGTAAAACACACATCTTACCTAAGCTTTCTTCACTGTCCTGAAAAAGGACCTAATGCACAAATTTGGTGCAACTTCCCTTAAACAGCATTCTTACTATTGTATTCTCATATTCATTAGTCAGACCTGTCTGCATTGTGACTACAAGCAAAGTGTAGTACTTAAAATAACCAGGTGTTAATATCTATGATTGCAGTGTGGCCTAGATGGAGTTAATAGAACTTTATTTGAATGTCTGTGAATCTGAGAAGGAAAAGTATTTCTCTGGGCATTGGAACAGAATATACATTTAAAGACTCTAAGGATTTGGAAGGGATGGGTCTCTATTGGAAGACTGGATTTTTATATTTGTTAGTTCACTGAAGTGGGGTTATTTCTAGGCGATGGAATAGCAACAGTGTGTGAGTAGATTCCAACACCTCTTGTGAATACAGGAAAATGGGCCTGAACAGTCTGGTGATCTAGTTTGGTGGAGTCAGCTAGAGCAGAAAAATAAAGACATCCTGTGTCTAGCTTGGGTAGACTGGCAAAGGTGTTTATTTGTTGGATTTGTAAACAAGCTCCACTTTGTTCACACGGTATATGTGCATGTTCTATGGTAATTAAGCTGTGTTTTTAGAAAGTCTGTTCATATCACACCTGGTTGCCTAGACTGCTGCCAGTGTCTGGTTCATTAGGATTATGAAATCGAAGTAATTGTTATGCCTAGCTTAATAGCTAAGAATAGGGTAAGAATATTTAGGAGCAGAAAAACAATTAACACTCTTCTGAAGCCCTGGAGGAGTATGAGGGGCATGAGCAATTTCACTGGGCTTCACTGTATATCTAACTTGCTTTTCTGAGCACTTCCTTATTCTCATTCTAGCTGTAGTGCTTAGGAGTGCAGCTTTTTGTTCTTCAGATACAGTTTGACATTATTCAGTCTTGAGAATTTAGATTTTGTGTATGCGTGTGCTTAAAAAACATATAAAGCTTTTTAATAATAAGATAATAAAGGCCCAGAGATAGTGATTGATGTAGGTACTAGAAAGTTCAACTGAATTACTTTTCTATTTGACCTAACTGTGTGCTGTGTAAATTTCACAGGTGCACATGTGAATGAAGAGGACTTCTTGTTGTTGGAGCTCTTGAACTGGTTTAAGAATGACTTTTTTCGTTGGGTAAATAATCTTCCTTGCAGCAGGTGTGGTGGGCAGACAGAGCCTAAAAGTGACTACCTGTTGCCTACTGATGATGATCTAAGGTGGAACGTCAGACGAGTGGAAAATCATTACTGCAACCGGTGTCAGTTCTGTAATAGATTCCCAAGGTGAGCATACAAAGATTTGCTTGGACTTTTTTTTTTCCCCTTGTCTTTCAAGAAACAGCTTTGCATTTGTGCGTTTTGTGAACAAGGTAAGTTGTTGGTTGAAAGATTAGAGGCCACTTTAAGCAACATGGTAGGATGATGAACCAGCAATTGATCTATAAGATTAATTTTTTAAATCAATATATTGCTTTCTTTATGTGTCCTTTTTCTGAATACTTGTCTGATTTTCTTTTTTTGTTACTGTTAATTTGATAAAGTATGACTTCTAAATAAAAATGTTAATATTGGCATAGTATGTAGATAAGTTTTCATTATTTCAAGGAAAACTTTCACTTCTGTGAGAAATCACAAGGGGTAATGCACATCTTTTGCTGAGTATATAGCAAAAGAGCAAATATCCAATTTTTTAATAATTTTACTATCAAAAGGACCAGTATAAAAAAAATATTTTAAGATGAAGTCTAAGTCGATTTTGAAAACTGAAAAAAAACCCCCAGATTCATTTCAGTACTGCTATAAACATGTTACGAAGTCGTGCGCATCAAAGTACAAATAGCATTCTGCGCTCACTTGTTTTATGCAGTACAGCAATCTGTACCATTATCTTCTTTGGGCTGTATGGCACTGAAATCTGCTCAAATCATCACAAGGACAGTTGTGTGAAGATTTTGAAAGGTGGAATGTTTTCAGTTATTCTGGTTTTGATTTGGTTTTCTCCTGAAGGTATAACAACCCTGAAAAACTTCTGGAAACCAGATGTGGACGCTGTGGCGAGTGGGCGAACTGTTTTACACTGTGTTGCAGAGCTGTAGGGTTTGAAGCTAGATATGTCTGGGACTGTACAGGTATCAGTATTCTAGAATATCATAATGGTAATACAAACCTATGCAAAATGAGGTTATCTATCTTATGGTTCTCAGATTGTATTAGCCATCAGACAGCATATAAAGTTATGCAGTTGAGTTAACAGACAATATAAATTCAATTTCCTGTCTTGCCTGATGAGATGAAATAAGATTAATGACTGACTTCGGAATGATACAAACTTCGAATACGAGCCTAAGAAAGCAAGCTCTGGTATCTTTTCTGAATGTAGATGAACAGAAAACATGTTCTTTCACCTGTTCCTTATTAAATAAATTGGGAAAAGTTACAGTATACTACAATATTAGGAGAGGATCTACCCTTGTAATTGGTTTATTCTTGGTCTTTGTTATATAGATCATTTGTGGACTGAAGTATATTCGTCTTCTCAGAAAAGGTGGCTTCACTGTGATCCCTGTGAAAATGTCTGTGATAAACCTCTTCTGTATGAAACCGGATGGGGAAAGAAGCTCTCCTACATAATAGCATTCTCCAAAGACGAGGTAGGAGTAATGATGTCAGTAAAAACCAAACTTGCCCTGAGGGAAGTGTGTGATGTATTCCATCTTAGTGTGATTTCCAGAACACTATGTTATTATAGAAAATCATTTATATGTTATTATAGAAAAACATAATTTGATTGGCTAACCTCTCTAAATGAAGCAAATTAAATGGGAATTTTTGGTTGCTTTATTTTCTTCTTCAACTTGTGCTTGAGGTTGTTGATGTCACCTGGAGGTACAGCTGTAGGCATGAAGAAGTACTCTCCAGAAGGACAGCACTCAGTGAAGCTACACTACGTGAAACAATTAACAGACTAAATAAAAAGGTATGTAGCTTTTCTTGAATTGGTTTCTTTAAGTGAAACATAAGTATCTTTCCAGAATGCAAAGTCCTTGAACAAGGGAATGCTTTTGGTAACCTCATAGGAATATTCATGCACTGTGGAATGTAAAATGCTGATAACTATACAGACCTCATTCTACACTAAATGTGTAAGAATCTGTCACAGAGCTGAACATAAGTGAAATATGATAAAAGAATAGCATGTAAAAGGATTATTACATTATCTCATACAAAGTCAAATATTTGTGTGTATGTACATATGTACATGATACAGACTGTGTGTGTATATTATTTTCTTGATGGCTTTAGAGTGGAGTTGGACATCAGCCGATGCTGGGAGTAAACAACAGCTGCTTTGTAACTAGGTACACTCCTTGAGGGCACCTAAGCATTTTCCACATCAATAATGCTATAACTATAAATACTATTGTTTTCCGGTCATAAGAAATGTAGCCTAATTTGTTTTTTACAAGCTCTAGGAAGCAGGAGGAATGGTCCACAGGCTGTTTCCAAGGTCTTCAAGAAGGGTTGATACCATTAGTAGAGTTTTGTCTCAAAACCACATGTACTGTTTGTGTCTAATGTCCGTAAAGCATGTGTAGCCATTTGCAGCTTCATGCCATAGTCACAGAATCCCAGTGCACTTGGGACCTCTGTGCTAAGCTTTTTCCACTCCCTTCTTGGGAGAGGATGAACTTTTCTTGACTCAAAATACTGGAATACCACAAAACCTTGAACCACCTGTAAGGTTCCATTTTGTCCCCACATCCTTCTGGGGCTAATTCCCATGAAAAGAAACTTTAGTTCTTGTGTATTCAGCTGATGGCTTAATAAACACATTCTGCCTTTCTAGAGGCCTGCTTTACCAGCTCTGGTTCTAGCCACACACTAAGAGCATGAAGAATTGAGCTGGGCTCACAATTTTAAGCCCTGGCCTCAAATGCTTTATCAGTAATGAAAAATTAGAGTCACACAGCAGAGTGGACCACTGAGAAGTCTGACCACAGAGGAGTGAAATAAAAGGAGATAAAGGATCAGAAATTCAAGTTGAGGAATACATGTGCTTTGTGCAGAGTTGCAGGAGTTTAATGTTGTTCTCTCTGAGCACTGAACCCGTGCTGGCTACAAAACGGATCTGAGGGGCCTTTCTTCTCATCTGCTGGTGATAAAAACCACTCACCAGGCTCTTCTCCTCCACCAGTTGTCCAGAGAGAGAGAATTTTGGAAATAAGACTCTAGTAAGTTGAAAAATTGCTCTGACAAGATTGATGGAATTGGGGAAGCACAGGCAACTGCCTCGTGGGCTGGCTTGCCTGACCCCCTTCTCACCTCAATGGTGTCACCATAGGATCATGCTCTGTTGCACTTACAGAAGCCTGGAGAACTCCAGTGAAAAAGCGCATTGCCATCTCCAACAGGTGATGCTGTGTGTTGGTCTGTTGGCCTGTTTCTTACGGTTTTTTCCACCTACTCTATAGGGTTGTGCAGCTCATGAGCTGACACGAGCACTTTTCAAACAGCAAAAATGGACATTCTGGTCATATTTTAAATGAAAACTTTACTAAGAACTGTGTACAGGCAAGAAAGGTATACATGTGCTTCCAAGACACTAATTTTTCTCTGCTCTTCCTTTCTCTACACATGGAAAATCCCAGCCCTTTCTCCTCTATGCTGCACATTGTCCTACTGCTTTTCACTGTTGTTAAATTTGTCCTGTGATTCTTTTAGAACACCTTTGGCAGCCTTTGATGGTATCTTATTCTGAGGAACGACTTCCTGTCATTTACTACAAGCTGAATGATATTCACACTCCCTCCCACACACACTTCCTTTTGCCTAATAGCTGTTCAAAATATATTTAATGAAATTTATTAAATGATAAATTTAATCTCTCTTTTACTCCTTTTTTCTTTTGTCAGTTATAGTTGAAATTGCATTTTAGGGACTTAAAGGCAGTTTGCAATTGAATTGCTAAAAGAAAAGGTTTTTTTCTTACATTAGTTCTAGTTAAAGGAACTTTCCTAAAGTTCATACTAAGTTTTTCAGGAATCAAGGGGCCATTAAAAAGTTGCTGTCTGAGGATAACCCTGTTGTATTCAGCAGCTTCTGTGGCCAGCAGAGGGGTAAGGCAGCTCACCCCTGGAACTATCAAGGCATTTTATAGCAGGCTTCCATTACACTGCTCGGTCACAGATCTCCATTTCAGCTAGTATGCTGTTTCCCTCACTGCAGCCTATTCAGCAGATAACTGATGGGGGCAGAGGCCTCCACTAACTTTCCCTTTTCCCATTGTCTCCTCAAGACTGGTTCCCCACTAGGAGGGATTATAATCTTGGTATTTTTTGATGCAGAGCTCCAATACTGCATATAACACCCTGACTACAAAGTTTTTCTTCACCTACTTTGTATGGATGCTGCCCTATTCCAGTCCACTGTTTGCTACCTACAATAGGCACTGCCCTGTTCCAGGCCATTGTATGTCACCCCTATAGAAAGTGGGAAAAGGACCCCGAACTTTCACTGCTTTCATTGAAAATTGGATGATGGGGCAGGGAAACAAATCTTTTTATTTGCTCCAGGCCCCATTTTTTGGTGGTGATTGTTGAGTGAATATAGCTAAGACCAGGCCAGCTCTTAAAAGGAAAACTAGTAAGTTAGGTTGAATTGTGACCATCTCATGGTGATTGATGTCAGATGAACCAGTATTTTGTGTTTAAAGGTTTAAAATTCAATTTCTCGCCTCAGATTATCTGTTGCTTACCCAGCAGTGGGTTCACTTAAATCACGAATTGTCCATCTCTCAAGACACAAAAGCATCAATAGCATAACTTGCACGTGATGTAGAACTGATATTAAAGCTGCAGTTTGCAACCCCTCTTCCTTCCTATTCCCTCTGTCTGCCAAAGAAAGGTGGGGCCTGAGCATGTATGTAGAGGATAATACCTTAAGAAAAAACAAAAGCAGGAAGTTTGAGCCATGGCAGTTGATAATGGAGTTCTTGTAGCCTATTTCAGTACACGGATGCTGTTGATGACGATGTCATTTGTAGGAAGCGTTACAGGTTTTCCCAGCTCAGGCAGTGTTGATCTCTGCAGTGTCTGAGCCTTATCTATGTCTTCTAGGCTGTGATGCATTTGTGTGCTGGAGGGGGGAGATGACAAGAGTTCAAATACTTGTGTTCTTTACAGTTGAGGAATTTACTAATTTCTTGTATCATACATAAGAGGCCTGTCTTCTGAAACACTCATTTTGTGTTGAAGTGCTTTTCTTTAATGGGTTCTTTTCAGATACTGTTACGATAGCTGCAGAGCAAGGTTAACCAATTTTCAGTGTGGCATCACTAATTTCAGTGGTGATAACCTCTGATATTGGGTTTCCTTACATCAAAGTGTCTCGAAGAAAATTGAAGATCGGTATTTTTAACTTAGGGTAAGCCATACCAAACCTCTCTGAGCTGGAGTGAGATTTGTAGTACTGTGTATGGATAGCTGAAGTGCCCAGGTGAGTGTTAGATTTGGGAGGGCCTGTTGTTTCATAAGGAACTGCTGGAGTCGCTGCTTATCATCCATCAACGCAATCAGAGGTGCGTTTCCCACTTGCTGTGTTAGAACTGATATCTGTTCAGCTGGAGCTGTTTCTCATCATTTCTCTGTATCTGCTTTCCTTTATCCACTTGCACATTGTTGTCTGGAACCAAAACCCTTCAAATGCCCATCTTCTGTTCCCTAATCTTTCTGGGGTCAGGACTGCTTTTGAGATAATTGGAATACCTATTGGCCTGAAGTTTCAGGTCCTAGTGGGCTGACTGTGCATGCCTTGGGCGATCACCAAAGTAGGAAAAAAATGATGATTTGTAACCGTTCGTATACTCAATGTTGAATTTAATTTTCCCACCCTATGCAGGTGTATCCACAGTTAAGGAAAAAGGCTTCGCATGTAAAGCTCTGTATGTTTGATGGGGAAATCAAGAGACAAAACCCAAGTTTCTCCATGAATTTTGTGAAAGTTGTTTGCCTAAAAAATGTCCATAGTTTTATTCATGTGAGCAAAAAAAGCTAAAAACTCTTCAGAAGGGATACTGAAGGAAGGAGAGGCAGTGGATTACCCCTCTATGTTAAGGAGTTTTTTGAGTGTCTAGAACTTAATGATGGTGATGAAAGGGTTGAGCGTTTGTGGGTGACAATCGGGAGGCAGGCCAACAAGGCAGATACCATCGTGGGAGTCTGTTACAGACCACCCAACCAGGATGAAGAGGCATGTGAAATATTCTATAAGCAGCTGGGAGAAGTCTCACAATTGCTGGCCCTTGTTCTTGTGGGGGACTTCAACTCACCAGCTGTCTGCTGGAAATACAGTACACTAGAGAGGAAGCAGTCTAGGAGATTCCTGGAGTGTGTGGAAGATAACTTCCTGACACAGCTGGTGAGGGAGCCAACTAGGGAAGGCACCCTGCTGTCAGACAGACCTTGGTGCCAGGGAGGGTTATGAAGCAGGTCATCTTGAATCCCATCACACGGCACATAGAGGACAACCAGGTGATTGGACCCAGTCAGCGTGGGTTTATGAAAGGCAGGTCATGCTTCCCTAACCTGGTCTCCTCCTCTGACAAGGTGACCCACTTAGTGGATGAGGGAAAGGCTGTGAATGTTGTTTACCTGGACAATAAAGATTTTGATACCACTTCCAGTTTTCTCATGGAGAAATGGGCTGTTCATGGCTTATATGGGTATAGTCTTCACTGGGCAAAAAACTGGGTGGATGGATGGGCCCAGAGAGTTGTGGTGAATGGAGTTAAATCCAGTTGGCAGATGGTCACCAGTGGTGTTCCCTGGGCCTCATACTCGGCCAGTTCTTTTTGACATCTTTATCAATGACCTGGACAAGGGGATCGAGTGCACCTTCAGTAAGTTTGCAGATGACACCAGGTTGGGCAGGAATGTTGACCTGCCTGAGGGTAGAAAGGGGACTCTCTGGAGGGATCTGGACAGTCTGGATTGATGGGCTGAAGCCAATTGTATGAGATTCATCAAGGCCAAGTGCTGGGTCCTGCAGATGGGTCACAACAACCTCACGCAAAGCTGCCTGGTGGAAAAGGACCTGAGGGTGTTGGTCAATAGCTGGATGAATATGAGCCAGTAGTGTGCCCAGGTGGCCAAGAAGGCCAATGGCATCCTGGCCTGCATCAGGAACACTGTGACCAGCAGGATTAGGGAAGTGATTGTCCCCCTGTACTGGGCACTGGTGAGGCTGCACCTAGAATCCTGTGTTCAGTTTTGGGCCCCTCACTACAAGAAAGACACTGAGGTGCTGGAGCGTGTCCAGAGAAGGGCAACAGGTCTGGAGCTTAAGTCCCGTAAGGAGCAGCTGAGGGAACTGGGGTTGTTTAGCCTGGAGGAGTCTCAAGGGAGACCTTGTCACTCTCCAGAACTACCTGAGAGGAGGTTGTAGGGAGGTGGTTGTCGCTCTCTTCTCCCATGTAACAAGCGAAAGGACAAGAGGAAACGGCCTCAAGTTGCACCAGGGAAGGTCTAGATTAGATATTAGGAATAATTTCTTCAGTGAAAGGGTTGTTAGGCACTGGAACGGGCTACCCAGGGGAGTGGTTGAGTCACCATACCTGAAGGGATTTGAGAGGCAGGTGGGCAAGGTGCTTAGCAACATGGTTTAGTGGTGGACTTGGCAGTGCTAGGTTAACATTTGGACTTGATGATCTTTAAGTTCTTTTCCAACCTAAAGGAATCTATGATTCTCTGTGTTATGTAATTCTGTTTCTTTTCTGCTAATTTACCTGGAAGCATAGCTGATGCATTTTTCTCAGTTTTCTGACATCTTGAAAAATATGAATGTCATAGTTTGTTTATGATAGAATGTGTTACTGTGGAATAACTTTCGGAGACCAACTGCATTCTTTTGTTTGGGCTTGATCACAACCCCAAGACTGCTGCAATCGTAATCATTCCAACTCAGAGGAGAAACATTTGACCTAATAATTATGCTTGCTTCCTCTTTCCCCTAAATAAGATCACAAACAGCTATTGTACAGAATGCATATGAATAACTATAAAATATGCTGTGGAAATGTTTTATCATCCAAGCAAATGTGCTATAAACATAACAGAAACATTATTTTGAAAGAAAACTACGCAGTGTGTTCAAGTTCACAAGAAAAAGCACTGCTGCTGAATAACCATGCAGTTATGACTGATTTATATTTGCATATCTGGTAGAAGATTAATGTTTCTAACAGTCAGTCTAGACTTTACATGTTAGTCTGTTTTTTCAATTATTTTTTTTCTTTTTGCTGTTGGTGTCACAAGAGCAAAACTACAAATACCATTTTTCTGAATTTTTTACTTTGTTTCTTAAATGTATTTTCAGAGACAACAATCTTTGTCAGAAAATAGAAAAAGAGAGCTCTTGGAAAGAACAATTGTGGAGCTTGTTGAATTTATTTCTCCTAAAACGCCTAAACCCGGAGAATATGGTGGAAGGACATCTGGTTCAGTGGCTTGGCGAGTAGCCAGAGGTGAAATTGGTCCAAAGGTATTTAACTTTTGCACTGATGACCATCTTAGAGGTAGCTAACTAAAAGTTCTGTAATTCTAGTCTGCAGAGGAATAGTACTTCATGGTAGGTAGCCTACAGATGTAGTTCAAACAGTGAAACTTCCATAAATGTTTGGTGCAAGTTTGATGTGAATTCAGTAGGGGTCCACAAGTAATTTTTGAGGAATGATGGTGGTCTGTTGATTCAAAAACTGTTTGGGAATCCTTAATCTGAAGTGTGTTTTGCTCTTACAAGTTAGTTTAAAAAAAAAAAAACAACACCCTTTTTTCCTTTTAATACTTACATTGTGACAGAACTAGAAAGTGTAAGGCAGTTGAAAGCAGTTGGGAAAACTTTAAAGAATGTTTATTTGTATTATTAGTTACTACTGGTTAAAGACTTAGAAGTAGGTTTTGACCAACTACTTTTGTTAATAAAACAATGTGGGAGCAATTAGAATTATGTAAATGGAACAATCTCTTAAATAATAAGCATGATTGATTTTCATATTAGTGTTTTTGACTCTTTCCAAAAGCAAGATTTTATTTTTAATTACTTTGTGCTAAGATGCAGTTTCCCAGAACCATAGCCATATTTAGTTTGAGCCAACATGCAAAGGTGTAATTTACCCCATCACTCTTTATATCAATTTTGTGGTGATCCTGTCATGTGGAATGACTGACAATCCTAAATAGGAGGAGTTGGGTGAAATGAATGAGTTTCATAGGCTTGTTTTGACTTTGAGAAACCAAGAGTATATTTCAGTTCTCCATAGTTTATAAGATTTAATTTCTACTTTGCTGAAACTCATAAGAACAATGACAAATCTTTAAAAAAATAATACGGTGAAGTTACAAAGTTTCTACCTTATATTTCTTGAAGTTGATATGTAAACTGTCATATTCAAGCACCTGTATATGATAGTCCCAGAATTACATTTTCTATTCAAAATAGCTCTATACTTATATGTTGAGCATATTTCTTGTACAATTAATAAGTTTTCTATTTGTAACATGTTAATCTTAGTTAAATTTTCTAATTTTATGTTTTCTGGCTAATAATTTACTTCAAAAAGTAATTATGTGAAAATTTTAAAAATACATTTACTGCTACCCTTTGAAAAAAGTGCAGGTCTATTGTAAGAAACGGGTTTAAATTTCTATTTTGCAGATTATTTTTGTCTATGATCTCTCTTAATAATTATGGGGTTTTTTTCAATTGTCAACAAAACTTAATTGGGAAACCCTGGCATGCTGTTGAAAAGTAACATAATCTTACTGAAATGTACTGGGAATGAGGGTGATTGTATGTTTTGCATTTTTCAGAAAAGAAGAGAAGTAATTTTTATTCCCTCTGAAAAAGAGAAGACATCTAAACTCTTCCACCTCACTTACAATATAGTAGAAGATGGTTATACACGGATTTCCAATAATAATGAAAAAATTACTGGGTGGGAAGCAGGTGTTTGGAAGGCAGAGTCTGTTTGGAGAAAGGTTGAGCCAGGTTGGAAAATGGTAAGGATAACAATTATTGAAGGCATAAAATCTACCGTAAAAGTATGGTAACTCCAATAAAATAGAAAACCCTTGCCAGTGTTCGGCATCAAAACCTCTCTTGGTGCCCATAGATTCTAGCTGATGTTAGTAAGTATTACTGTTGAGCTTCAGGTAAGATTGCCAGATGATTTAAGAAATGGCAAATAAATTTAGGTTGCCTTTTCAGAAAGGATGACTGAATTCTAGCTTCCTTCTTATGCTATTGGGCAAATGCACAGTAGTGTTTTATTGATAGCAGTACTTCTCTCCAAAACAAGATTTTTGTGGTGTTGTTTTGGAGAGCAGCTTTATAGTGTATCATCTCTGTGATGCACAGCCAAAAGAAGAAATTGTCATCCCAAGTATTACGGGTTTTTGCCTTCTTACAGATGGAACTGTCCATTATCCAGAGTATTGTATACCCTGCCCAGACTCCTTCCCATCTGTCAGGACACTGAGCAGCAGCAGAGTCATATGCTCGAAATCTAAGAAGAGAAGAACTGATGCCTGTAAGATGGGAAGAGGTCATTTACTAGCAAACAGCTTTTTTCTACAACAGCTACTAGCTGTGGAACAGAGCATTCCTGGCAGGGACTATAGATAGCATGTCACTGCTTTGTTCCCCTGTCATTTTACGAGCCTGAAAGGTCCCTGGCCAAACATTCTTCTAGCTCAGGCAGTTATTTGCTACCCATTAATGAAAAATGGAACCAAGTATGTACCTGTTTTCTGTGCTGGGTGTATACATAACTGACTTGCAAAACGCAGTGGGGGAATAGGTTGGAGAGGTTATTCTACGTAAAAAAAGAATAAGAGAAGAAACTGGAGAATAATCTAAGAGATGTTACAACTGGGTAGACTAATATGAAAAGAGAAGTAACAAAAACCCAGAATGAGGGACAACTATTCTCTGCTTCTCCAGGATCTGCTAAAAATCTGATAGCGCCTTGTATCTTTGCATCTCCAAAGATCGTTTATCCTCACTTTTGCAAGAAACATACCGTCTTTGCACTGAAACCGGTCTGCTGTGCTGTTCTGCTCAGCTCTACAACTCGGATAAAACGGGGAGCGAGCAATCTGTAAGACCATGCATGAAGACACTACTGTTGTATTCACCAGCACCGCAATTTTTCTAGATAAAGGATGTGAGGCTGGCCTTCAGAAATTCAGAGCTAAAAACCCAGGTGTATCCAGGCTTGTGGATAAGGCGTGTTAGTTCTACAGGAATAGTATCCTGCAGGAAGTCTGTGTATGACTAAAAGGACTTTCCATTGGGGGTTGTTTATATTATGGGAGACAGCAGAGGACAAGGTTTTTTGGGGTTTGCCTGGGGTTTTTTTGTAATGCCGCTGGTAGATCTGCATGGTACGAATTTGGGGTTTGATTCAGCAGCTGTCCAAGAAACTTACCAGCCAAAGGAGCCTTCACAGAAATACTTTGTTTATTATTTAGTATGTGAGGAATGGAAAGGAATTTAAATATAAAAGCCACAGTAAAGGTCACTGTAGGTGTTAGCTCAGGAGTAACAGAAAACAACCATCAGTTACGTATTGTTGGCCAAGATGGTCAGCTGCCTGAGTCATTTTGATCAGCGATCCTCCATCGTTATTTATGTATTCTCTTGCTATTCAGCGTCATTTGACTTTATGGTACACAACTCAAACAGGTACAAACCACAGATGCAGTCAGATTACACAGATAACTTGGCATCCAGGGCTCAAACAAGGAGACCATAGTAGTTCTTACATAAGAATGTAAGAACTTGTAGGTCTGAAATCCATGGGTTTCTAAAACCTTGTTTTCCAGATAAATTGCTCCAGTGGAAGAGAATTTGAATGAGTCTGGGTTTTTGTTTCCTGAATTCAGACTTTTTTTTTTCAAATAATACTGAAAAAAGAGCAGCCAGGTGTGAAAGTCACGAGGACAGTCAAAAAGACACAAGAGGAAACTTTACCTTCTGTTTTTCTGATTAAATGTTTGGATATTACAATGGAAGAAGAAACAGGCTAATGTTTTAGTTTTTCTCTCTGAAAAACTTATGGTTAGTGCACCAAGTTGTAACTAATTGAGTGTTTTGGCTTCCTTCCTCAAATATGGCAACTCAGTAGGATATGATCAAAGCAAATCTCTGGCTAGAACTAGCTGAGATACTTTAAAAAATTGCATGGAGATCAGCACTTTCTTGAACATTAAGTTTGTATTCACATGAAATAGGGTTAAACTGTTAAGTTTTCATAGGTGGTCTTCAGTGTAACACCTCATACCTTTGGGGTTTTTAGCTTTCTTAAATATGAGAATTAACATTTTTATGCCTGGTGCATAATAACACTAAAATTCTGTTTGGTAATCTGTCAATGACACTTCTGTATTAGGACGGGATCTTTAGTAAAACATACTATGGTAGTTTATTACCCTTTTATTCAGGGTTGTTCTTTCCAGATTAAAAACTAAAGATCTAAGTCCATTCAGTATGACATGAATCAGAAGCCTGGACGTGACAGAATTTTGATGAGTTTTCTTGACCAAGGATTCTGAAAGGATCATGACAGTTTTGACTCTTTAATCTGTGATGTCTGTTGTCTTGGTTTGCTGATAATAGCTGCTAGACCTGAAAACCATCGGATGCTTATTACAAAACTCATAATATGAGCGTTCATAGTAGTTTTAATGAATGTTGACATACGATGTTAAGTAATAATGTTGATACAGGTTTTATATACAGGTAGCATGTATGATTTGCTCTAACCAAGACATGTCAAGTCCTAGAAGTGGTGTGCAGTCAGCAGCCGCATCTGAAGAATCCAAAATACTGATGATGCTGATCTCTTCATCAGCAATGCTGGACAACCAAAGTGTGTGCATTTAAATAAAACAGCAGACTTTTGTTTTTATATAAAATAATAAACTTAGGTATTTTTGTGGCTCAGACTCTACCAAGCATGTTGAAATAGATTAGTGTTCCCTCGTGAAAGACTATGAACATGTGCAATTGCTTATCTGTGCAACAGACTTAAGGATTCAGATTGTGATTATATACAAAATTGTATTGTGTATAGTTCTAAAGGTTCAGAGGCTTGATAAAAAATGAAAGCATGTTATCTTAAGATTTTATGTGCTTGTTACAATGATTAATCACATATATGTTGATCATCTGAGTTTTTGACATGCTGACTATGTCTTCTTTCCATTTAGGTTTATTTAGCCCGAAAAGAGGGGTCATCCTCTGCTTCCATCAGCTGGAAGTTTGAGTGCAAGTCAATTGGTCTGAAAATAGATAACATTTCAGTTAGGACAAGCAGTCAGACATTTCAGAGTGGAAAAGTAAAGTGGAGAATTTTTTCTCCAACAGCAGAAGTTTCTCTGATCGGAGGTAAGTGTGGAATTTAAATAATGAATTATATCACACAGCAAAGGTGTAACTGGAAATAAATAGCTTATATGGAGAGAGCAAGTACTAAAAATGACATGCAAATGCGTTTTGACTTTTCCAACTCAGTCTTTCTTAGAAAGGTCAAGAAAATACTCTGCATTTAACCAAAATTGGTACAAAAAACTGGTACAGACCCCAGTTTTATTAATATGCACAGCCCTACCTGCAACAGGGTGGGGTTAGCAAGAACACAGAGTGGATATGAGATACTTGGGTGTTTTAGTAGGAAAGATAGATGCTTCTGTGTTCAGTGACTTCAATCTTAACTAGATCCTCTGAGCAAGAGCACTAAACAAATAATAACTAAAGATTTGCACCTGTTTTTTTTCTGCCACTGATTGACAGGTGAATTTAAGTAGTTGGAACTGAGATCCATAAACACTCATTACTGCTTACCCCTTTTTAACATGCGTTTTAGCATTATATGCTGTCTGGAGCAGTGGCTTACTGAATTGTTTCTCTTTTCCACCCACAGATAAAAATCTTTCCTCCTATTCAGACTTCTCTGGTGCAACAGAAGTTACGTTGGAAGCAACTCTAACTGGAGGGGATGGTGAAGCTGCATGGCAACACACACAGCTGTTTAGGGAGAGCTTAACAGGGTGTGGAGAAAATTCCTTGGAGATAATTATAAAACTCAGTGACCTCTGAGAAACTGAATTGAAGAGGTGGTCTTTGGATTCCTTGAAGACACTATACCCTGGATACAACATGAAGATTTGGTTGGCAGCTCCTCTTCATCCCGCTGGCAGCTTATTTCCTGTCTCACTGCTTCCATTTAGCCAACTTGAAACTGCACATGTATTGAATAGGTAAACATCACAATGAAAACCTCTTCGCTTAGACACCAAAATTAAGGGATTGAACTATTAAATACCTTTTTCTTAAAGTTTATGATGAAAAGGAAACAGTTTTTAGGAAGCAAAACATCATCATAAGAGCACAGAGCAATTATAATTGATTTTAATTTGGAGTTTTGGGGTTGGCTTGCTGTTTGGGTTTTTGTTTTTTAATCTACTCCTTGGAGAAACAGTTGAAATTCCATTTTCCGAGTACAACAGATGCTTATGATGACTTCAAAATATTTCAAAGAATAATATAAGACAGACATTTTAAAAGAAAAATTATTTGGTGTAATAATCACAAGAGCTGAAATTAAGATAAATTTTGAAGCCTTCTTGAAATTATCTTGTTAGATATCTAAGTATTAAACTTGTGTTTAATACCTAGAAATATTTGGAAATATGAATATGTGCTAGGAAAATAAACTAATTTTGAAAGAAGTGTTCATTATGTACCTAAAATTGTCATGGCCTGTGATACAAAACTGAAACTTAAACTGAGTAAGAACACCAGTTTGGGTTTTTTCTATTAAAAAACTGTTTATTCATTATAAATACTTTTTAATGATTTAAATTCAGATTTGCCCACTTTTAAGAAGATTTATTAAGCGTGTAGGTTGAAATCACTTTTTAAGGTGTTGTCTCGAGTTGCTTTGAATACTATTCCCAAATGTTACGTAAAAATATATACAATTTTAGTGTTCACTAATGCAGCGTTTAAATTTCCTTTTGTTGAATATAACAAAAACTGCCACCCAGGAGATGTCAGATGCGGCAGTGCTGTGAGTAAAGTATGGGGTGAATGTTCAGATTAGATAGTCTTTATCAGAGAATTTGAGGAACGCTGTGGCTGGATTGTGGAAGAAATTTTTTATCATAGGACTAAAATGCGAAGTTCAAACTATAATTTTCACTTTTTTAAAAATAAAACTAGGGATGATGTTCCCAAGATCAGTGTTTTTAAAGCTTTTTGTTCCTTTTTTTGACCCTTCCAACCGCTGTATTGATTTGAAATAAATGTTTCTTGACCTTTCAACAAATTTAAGCAAATATAAGACTATTTAGATTTTATTAGGAAATGGGATATGCACAGTGAGCGTAGGCATCAAAATTATGCCACAGACAAGTCTTGAAAAGTCATAGATAATGGCAGCTCTGGAGTGGCAATGATGTATGATACTTTGCTTTAGGATGTAAATTGACAGTTTATGAGGGGCATTAGAAAGAGAAGGTCTCACTCCCGTAGTAGAGAGGGAACTGTGTGGAAGGGTGTTCATCGACACTTGACTAATATCAAAGTGAATTTGCCAGTCTTCATGCAAAACTCCTCCGGTATTTAGTTTCAGCTAAACGCTGGTTCTGAGATTTTGAGTGGGAACCCAACAGAAAAGTATTTTAGACTAATCTGTATGCTGGAAATATAAAGACATAAAAAGAAGACTTAGTGACACCAATCAACAAAAATGTTTCCGCTTCATAATTTTGATAGCTGAAAAAAAATACTGCTGTAAGACAGAAATTATTTCTTGCCTTATGTTACTTAAAATAGAGAAGTATGAGGAATTGCAGAACAGCTTAACTGCATTTGATAATTTGAAAGTAGGAGGTAGAATAAATTTAGAAGTAGTAAGATAGAAGTAATTTTCTCACAATTTTGGTCAGAATCTCTGGGGGAAGAGTAATAGGTGCAGATAATAAAATCATCCACTCAAACAGCAGAGTGGTTGAAGTCCATTATTAAAATGTTATAATGTATTAAAAAGGTTGAAAAATGCCTCACCAATCTAATTAATCAAGAAGTACTTCTGTATTTGTAAGATCACTTGCAATGAATAAAAATGGTTATTTTAGGAAAGAATTAATGAGTAAAAACTTCAGACTGAATAGACCTAATCTGAAAAAGGTGAATGGAACTTCTTCAGGTATCTTGGAGTACCCCATAAACTGAACATTTTGGATCTCTTCATGCATAAGCTGTTTTAAAGGCACTAATTTTCTCTGATCTCTATTTCAGTGCAACTCTTCATAAATTTTTAATTGCTTTTTCAAACCAGAGGTAATTCCTCATCTACAGTAGCTTAATTAATAATTTACAACATCCTGAATTTGCAGTATTACGCGGTGGAAGGATCTGTGCTGCAGTGTGCTCTAAGAGTATGGGTATTAAGTTGTGCTGGCCATCATATGATACTGGTTGAGTTGTAGGAGACGTTGATCAGGGCATAAGGTGCTTTCTCAGCTTCTCAGAAGTTTGAGGAGCGGGAGGTTAAATTGAGAAAGAAAAAAAACCTGTTGACTAGGAATTTAATGTCAGTGTAAGTAAAAGGAACAATGTTTTCTAGCATTCATTTTAGTCTGGTGCATTTTAAGGAGTTGCTAGCTGTCCAGTGTGCCCTGGGTGCCTTCCAGAGTTCCACGGAGATCTAACAGCGAGATCTTCTCAATCAATTTTTACATAAAAATCGTACCTAATTAATGCTTGCAAACAGATTTCAGCGTGCGTGGTTTCCAACAGAGCCATGTGGGAGCCTGTGCACAGAATGCCTCCTTTCAAGCGTCTGTTTTATTGCACTGTTGTCCCTGTACAGTCGATCGTACAGGCGTTCATTTCTTCATGCCCTGTTTTGCCTCCGACTGCTGCGTGCAGAATGGCAACCCACGGCACTGGAGTAGTAATTTCCTATGACCCAGGAAGTTGCTGGGAAAATGTATCTGTAAAACACATGAAGGGAAGCCCCTCGTAGGCAGTGTAGAGAGAAAGCTCAGGCATACTGGAATCAAGCAAACTTCAGTATAAATTATATGCTTGCACGGAGAGGTAGGTAATGAAAATTATCTCAACTGATCCCGTGTGATAATCTGTTGCCTTGACTCATCAGTTATCCATGGAAGATTTTTTTCACATTTAAGGGCTTAGACGTGAGATCTAATCCCCATTTTGTGCATCATCAGGAAATGTAGAACACTAAAAATACAGTATGTTTGTCTCCATAGCAGAGTGGAATGAAAACAGATGGTAGGCAGCACATATGGCTGCCAGAAGCTGGGAACACCCATTTGCAGAGTTCTTGCAGCTTAAAACAAAACAAGCCAAAACAAAGGAACTCCAAGGGGGAGCAGAGATTGTTCCAGGCAGATACCAGGATCTGTCCTGTTCTTCACACCCACACTCCCTGTCTCTTTACTTTTGGTTGCATTTGTTAAGTACGGACATTATTTAAAATGAATCTCTGATTTCCACCATAGGTTCATGTTTCTGGTTTTGGACAAAATTTAAGATTTTGCTGGTGTTGTATAAGCAATTAAACGACTTCATCAGTGTTGAAAGAACTTCCGTATCATTCCTTCATATCCTATGGAGGGTTGAGAAGCGAATTACAGGCAGGTGACTTCCTTAAACACAGCTGGTAGAATAGACCTAGGTCCTATCTATACTTTGATTATTTTTTTTAAAGTTATTCAACATTATTGGCAGCAGTTCAGCTTACTTAGTGCTAGCTCTTAAGGTTCTGTGATGGGCTGCTGTCGTTGCCAGCAGCGCTTTATGCCTTGCAGCATATGGCCTCTCTAAACAATAATCAGTGATATTACATTTACTGAATGTTGATCACATGCTGGTGTCAATGTGGGTGGAATGAAAGAGTAATAGCAATAATATTTGGGATAAGGTTATATGTGTTAGGCTAATCTTGTATATTTAACCCAAGAAGAAGGACAGTAAAGAGTCAAAAAAAAAAAAAACCCCACCAAACCCACCACAGTTCTTTAATAGGTTGATACAGTTTCTTCTTCTAAAGTTACTAATTTCAGGAGCAGAATTTTGAGACCTCCCATCCTAGAAAATGGTACTTAGTAACAAGCCAAGGTCAAACAGCCTCAAGTATCTCTATTTGAGGTGTACAGATAATGTGTCAGGGTCTAAATGTAACTGAGTAAAAGAACAGGGTTTTTTTCCTTTGTTTAGATTTTGATGTTTATTCTTGGGCTTTAGTTTTTTTTTTTTTATGGTAAGCTTTGTAATTAGGCTATTAGATTTGTTTATGATTAGCCTGCTTCATCTGCAGCTTTATCTTTTTTCTACACATTTCCATCTAATTTAAAGTATTATGCTTCTAATTTATATAGAGGATTGCAATTGTATGGTAAATATACTGTGACAAAAATTAAGCCAGTTTCTTTGGTAAGAGAAGACAAAAGGGATAGATTAAAAATATGCAAACTCAGAAAAGGGGAAAAAAAAAGGCAATAGTAATTAAAACTGATGGCACCCAGAAACCAACAAAATTCCGGGACTTAATAAAATTTAATGGGGAAAGAAAATGTAATAGACTACATAAGATAGTGCTGGCAAATGGAACTTCCATGATGAACCCTGGTTTTGAGATGTTTTTCTATGTGCTCATTAATGTTTAGTTCACTGAAAATTTTCAGTAGAGCAGAAATACTCAGAATAATGAATAGCTTTTTTACAGCAGTGTAAGATTTAAGGAATATCCATTTTTAAACCTCTTTTATTTTTACTAGTCTAAGCCATAGAAATTATTTTGAAATTAAGATCAGGCTCGTACTGCTTGATATAGATTCATTCTTTTCTTGGTTTCAGTGAGTGTTCTGTGTCTTTGATTTTGGAAAAAGTGTGTGGAGTGACATACTGTAACCAGGAATTTTAAGAGTACACTAGAAAAGACCGTTTCACTATGCATTTTGATTGTAATGTTCCAGTGTATGTTCAATCGTTTTATTACATACTGCTATGTGTTATTTCATATCCTTGCAACTTCAGTAATATAATGTATGTCTCCCATATCC